CAGACAATGTAAACTGCCCTCACAAGAAAAGTTTACATGCCTAAAATGCCTAAACCTTTCAAATCTTCTGCCTTTCCATACATCGCCAGCTTTCTCTAAGAGAATCAAGCTTCCTAAGCCATTCTTTCCAACTATAAAATATGCTTACATATCTAGCCAAGAGACAGACTGTAGAGTTGCTGGCATGTCTCAAACTGATATATCAGGTAATTATTAGTCTCTATAAACAATTCACAATCAGTGAAAAGATTGTTGTTTTAATTGCATGCCTGACAAATGAATACATTAAACTTTAATCTATTTCTAGCTGTTCCATCAGCAGTAGAAGAGGTTACGTTAAAGGCTTTATGAATTATTCTGAATCTTCTAATCCTGCAGTCTATAAAGAAATCCGTTTTCCATTCTTACCATACCCTGTTCTCTCTAGACCTGAACCTCACACACCAAGGTGATTGTGTCTCATTGGGGAAAAAAGACACATGCTAGACTTAGGATTGTTTTACCTTCATTCACTGCCGTTCCCAGACACGTTTTTCTTCCTCCTTTGGCTCATGCTTTCTCTCAGTTGGAGTTTATGGAGCCTATGGTCCATGTTTAAATGAGGCTATATGTTGCTCATTGGAGCCTTCAATACCACTCTGACTTGCACCTTAATCTGTTCTGTTCTAATGTGTTTTCTTTCTGCAGCATCTCTCTGGCTCACATCCTTGTTTAGTTTGCTCTGGAAAGCTGCTTCAATTCCCACAGCGTCTTATGGAAGCTAAAACCCACTGCCAGGCAGGAGTTAAAATACAGAGCTCTGGTTTGTATTGTGTTCAGGACTATAACAACCAACTCACGTAAGAAGCTTCATTAGAGACAGATGCCTCTGGGGCTTATTTTTGGTACTATGTACATGCACAGACCTGTACTTGCAGTGCTTTCCTTTGTCTCACCTTCTCATTGTATTTGCAAGGGTTTACAATACCCTTATTTTAGCATTAGTGGCTTATTTCTAAGATATTTATTATACAAGATTTTAACAAGTGGTAGTGCAGGTGGTGTTGCTCTACAGAGTTAGTTCTCCCTATCTACACAAGCTTATCAGATTTTTAAAATGTCTCTGTAGCAACACTGATACAGTTTTCCCCAAGACAAATTAGTTGAAATTCCCTGATTATGAAATAATGTCATTCAAATCACAGCTCTTGTAAAACATAAATTGTAATCCAGCTTCTGTTATTGCACTCAACTAGCTTGCCATGGGGATGAAATACAGGCATTATACATGAGATCATATATTGTATGCTGTAAGGACATGTGGAGAGTGATGAGTAATGAGGAACCGTTACCTGGAGTCAATATCAACAGGTACTCCTAGGCCAAACTTCTACCATGGATTTAATATTTGCTTGCATGCATTTGTGTGCAATTTCAGACTGCTTTCATTCTCTTTTCCCTCCTGTAGATTTAATAATTTTTCTTTTAATATATTTTCTAATATTAAAGAGAGACATAAAAGTGTTTACGATATTTCTTAACTTCTGGCAATTTGACTTCACAGCTGGTGTTCTTGGTAGCATCACTTGATAGAGGTTACTTGTAAAGTTATATCTTGAAAATATCTTTTATGTCTAACAAACAGAAAAGTCATAGCTATATTTTTAATATGTACATATACATGTACGTCTGTACCCTGTGAGGAAGAAAACAAAATAGTTCAGTAGGAAGGGAGCTTTAAGGACCACTCAGTCAATACCTGATCTCTTCAGAGGCAATTGAAAGTTAAAGCATGCTATTGAGGGTATTATCCAGATCTTGAATGCTGACAGGCATGGGGCATCAGCCACCTCTTTAAGAGACCTGTTGCAGTGTTTGACCACTTGTGGTAACTACGTGTTTCCCAGAGTCTAATCTGAAAGTCCCCTGGTGCAGCTTCATGCTGTTCATTTAATTCTAATGCATGGCATGTATTCAAAACTTCTTGAATTATTTGTTGCATTCAGGGAAAGTTTAGGCTGTAAAAGAGTCTCCTTGCATGTTGTCTTTTTTCATTTGTTTCTGTATAAAATGATTTTTTTTCTATTTTTATCCCAACTCTCTTCACTAGGCAGCGTGGTGAGGTGCTAGCTCACGAAAAGTGAGCACCAGATCTTATGACTAAGATGGGCTGTTAGCATAACTTACAAACATGAGAAGAAAGTGCTTAAAAGGGAAAGAAAGAGGAGCATGCATTTCTGCCTTCTAAAGCTCCGCCTGACTAACTAAAGTGGTTCTTCTAGACTGCTACACTTTAGCTTAAGCCCCAGAGGCTGGAAAGCCTTACAATTTGGAGAATTACTTGATTCTTTTCATACTGATTTGTGAATATGAAAAGCCAAAATTTGCTTGTTTGCCTCTAAACCTGCAGGTATTGGATTTGCTCACTAGGAATGTGTGGCACAGCTTTTCTTAAGAGCCAAATGAATTCTGAGCAGTGACTTCAGTATTCAGCTCCCTTTACCTGTGCTCTAACGCCTGGTGCCCATGTCTCTTGCTACACATTATAGCTTTAAAAAGTGACTCAAAACTAATAAAAATAGGAGTAGTTTCCATGAAGTGGTGCTCTCTTGCTTTTCCAATGAACAGACCCAAAAGTACTTTGGCTCGTGTTAGATAACCCAGTGAAACAGAAAAGACTTTTTCTTTGATCCATAGAGGTTGAACTGCAATGTAAACCAGATGGGAAAATCCCAAAGGATAATTTTCCCTTCTTTTGACCATTGAGGGCCATCAATCCAACCGCATGAGCTCAGAGAGCCTTTGAACAGCTATGGCCTATTTACAAAATGAGTTGGACTGAACATTTTATTGTTTGAACACAGTGGCTGCATGGAAATAATTTAATGATATACTTATCATATAGTCTAAGGAAACTGAACTGTATAAAAAACCTTTCACTCTAACATGAATCTGAGACAGAGTGGCTAGGGCCAGGAAATCAGGAAAATTGTGGAATTCATAGCTAAACATGCTTTATTTTTGTTTGCCTAAGCAATACAGGCAGCTCAGCATTTCGGTGTCAGCTGTACTTCATAATTTTGTCATACCTTACAGCAAACAATTTTATTAAAATATGTATTAAATTAATCCCAGTTTTACTGAAACAGTTTCAAAAGAACATAAAACAAATTGTAAACTGGAATGGAGCAATCCTGAAACACAAGAAGCTTGTCACAGGCTGTTTATCAGACACACATGTTCCACCTTTAGGTTTTATGGGCTGAGCAGGTTTCATATAGATATATCTATGCTATGGAGGTGTACTGAGAGCAAAAGAAAATAATACTGATATGCAAATAGTCTATGTGTTTACACTGGCTAATGAGTACGTCTAAAAAAATAAGTGTTAATTTAAACAGTTTCATTTAAGACTGATGCATACTAACCTTCACTCTTTCCTGGACACTCTGGTTGTCCCAGTATATTTTCATTACATTAATGTTAGAATCTGTAGCGATATTCTCATTAATTAATCATTAATTTCCAGTCAAAAGTGGAGTGCAAAGCCTCAGATTGTATTGATTGTATCCAGGTTCTCTCACAGTCCCCCTCCACCTCATTGAACACCAGCATCCTAAAAGCAGTTCCTAAAGAGACACGCAGATTGGCAAATCAGGGAGACCCATAATAAAAGATTAGGAATGATAGTTTTATTGAAAACATTTGTATAAGGGGATACTTGCTTGAAAGCTGTTGATGCCCAGTCTGTGTCTGCTCTCCCTGTCCAGTCACGCCTGTAATTTCCATCACCTGATTGAAGATTTAACCAGGAAAGGCATTGGCTCCACTTCATTTCTACTACCAAGAGTAGGATTTCTGCTGGTCTTAGTAGTGATAGACAAAGTGATCTCTGCTTCAGAGAGCCTGCAATTTTTTGCTGCTGACGCTCTACGGTTTTAAATGGATTTACTGTGATGGTAGCCTGAATCGTGCTGGAGAAGATTCAGAGCATAATGAAAATACTTCAGTTCAATCAAACACTTTCTATGGCACAGCTGTTTGTTGATAGTGCATAGACCTCAGATCTTGAAGAGGTGACCACAGGCAGGCAGATGTATTCGTGGAAACTGCCACTCTTGGCACTCCAGCGTCTTGTCCACTGCCTTTGTGGGAAGAGAAAATACCTTCACTTTGATAAAGTTTTCTAATTCAAGTTCTACAGCAAGTTTGTGCGCCCGGAATGGCTGCTTCATGCCCTGGTATTAAATTTGTTAGTGCAAGGAGAGCTGCATTCTCACATACAAGCACATTAGGTAACTCTTCTGATATTTACTTTGGAGACTCATTTGATTATGTGAGCATAGTCATTTTTAATGCTATCACTCTTCTTGTTAAGTGCGTTGAGGTGAGGACTGCAAAATAAAATGTGACCTTTTCCAATGAGAAATGAGATTGTCCTGCCTAGATACTAATAGGCATTTTAAAAAGCAGCCTGTATTCCAGTAAACTCTGTATTGCTTAAGTAGATGTAAATAACTCTCTAGCAGGTGGCTTGGCTATCCAGTACAGCCAATATTTGCATACCTATTTTGAGCTAAGTTACTGCTTCGTGACTGCTCTTGTCCTTGCAAGTGAGTTACAGTTTTAAAGATGCTGCATGAGATTTCAGGACTTCTTAAATTGTGCCAACCAACTGGTTTATTAACTTGAACAAACTGCTTATAAACTTGTTCACTCCTTTGGAGCACAAAAGCTAGAAATTGAAAAGGGGAAGCTTTCAAGGAAAAGTAAGGATGAAACTTAGAGCTTAAAAAAGAAGTTTAGGCCTGCATTTGTTCTTGTATAGGACAATTTCAGTTACTATTCTTGACATTGTTGCCATAAGACTGAGTCATAAATTGGAAAGTGCTTTGTCCTAGTGTTAAGTTTAAAAAAAAAAAAAAACCTATACTTTTTTTTTTTAACCTTGCCATAGGTTTTCCATGCTGAGATTACATGGAAAATCTTGATTTGTTGGTTTTTCTCTTGCAAAAATCCAGGTATTCCTTGGACTGGTGTGAAGAAAAACAGCGGTTCCACTGGTCTTAAAGAACAATGTGAAGCTTTTAAAGTGACCTGCCAAAGAGAGAAAAGAGGAGACATGTATGGTGTATGAACAAAACAGGTAAGATTGCTCATACTTCCTCTTTTTTTTTTTTTCCAGAAAATATTTCATTCTGTTATACTTTTTTCATCTTTTCTGACCTGAATGACACAAACACTATTGCAGCTTAGGTTTAGTGCTCAGCAGGCCTCATCATAGAATGGCCTGGGTTGAAAAGGACCACAGTGGCTTATGAAAGCCATGATCAGATGTTGCTTTTCAGATCTGTGAGAAATATTTTTGTTGGCTTTCCTCTTTGAGGTTATAAAGTAATAGTGTATGATGATTCACGGGAGTCCCAGCTATATAGCAACGCAGTTTAGGAAGCCTTAAAGATAAATCACATCTTTGCTATTTTCGCTTTCATTCTGTCAGCATTGAGTCCCTAAGCTGCAGTTGGTTTCTTACTCTTCCCATTGCTGCAGCAGTTTAGTTGGGTACCAAATTCAGTGGGCAATCATAAGGGTACAACTCAATGAAGAAGAGTGCAAACTCCTCTCTGTTACACTTCGGTTTGCTCTCTTGTTTAGATAAGGATGAAGGCGTTGATGTATGGTAAAAGGATGTGGATTCTGCTTCCACCTATGTTACCAAACAGCTGTGTGTTTTGGGGATGGTTATTTCTCTCCATGTGCTGCCAATTTGTTGCCTACAAAGTGAGAAGCTGGGCTTCACTCTCATTTGGGGACTACACTGAAACACAGGCATCGGTTTCTATATGAGGCGCACTGATTTCTATTTGCTTTTTGTAACGTGATAACCTTAAGAACATTACTTTTTAAGAGAAAAATACATAGAGGAAGGGAAGGTAAAGGTAGGTTATACTTTACAGCAGCCATTCAAGTATCTGCTCTTCAGGTTTTACCTCCAGCTCACTATAACTACCTATAAAACCTGTGTAATTTGAAATTTTTGTTTATTTCTAAATGACTGAAATATATGCTCTTAATATATAGGTAGCTATGGCCCGTCTCAGAGTATTTATGTACTTACCAAGTAGTTATGCTTTTGACAGATTATAGTATATTTGTGGGAAAGATTTGTCATCCAGAGAAACTGTTGTGATTCAAATTGTGGTCTTTCTGCTAAAAGGATATTGTCCTTCCTCCTCACCTCCCTCTGAAACTTTAGAGTTTGACCTCTTGAACAGCAAGATCCACATTTAAGACCCTGTCAGGTAATGGGCGTGTAAGTGTGGTGTTAAGTACTTTGTGAGGTAGCTCAATTAAGCTAGCAGCTTCTCATAGAGTCACTAAGGCAGAACCAGCATGTAGAATGAATTTAGCAATGGTGAAGATGATAAGCTTAAAGATCAGACATCCAAAAGCATTTAGTGCTGGGAAAGTGAGGCCAAGCTGTGGCTCTGCTGACTAATTCTTTCTCTCACTGAAGTCCTAGAAAAAGGAGTTGGATTTGGGAACCTCTTTTTTCTCTCAGAAGATACATTTTTGCTGCAGGTTCAACAGAGAGAAAATACTTATACCCCTGATACTTTGAAGACATTAATCATATTGCTGAATATTCATGTATTTTTCATACTCATAACTCTTCTATTGCATATGTGACCTTTTTTATTCTTCAAGCAACAGCAAATAGGGAGCTTTTATTTTTCGTCTATGTTCTTTGGTTCCTGGATTCCCACACGTTTGACAAGAGATCAAAAAAAAATTCACTACTTAGGTGTATTTTATTTCTGTTTCTCTTGGTCTTCTCTCCTTTCTCAAGATTGAAAGATTTAAGTCAGCACTCTTTTTTTTTTTTTTTCCGATGTCAATGTGCATGTTATGACTTTGGTCTTTCTTCTGGCAAGTTAGCAGGAGAGGGATTTTGGAACACTTGCTTGAGTGTTAATTGTCCTTCACAAATTAGCCAAGGTCACTGACTTTTGAATCAGTGCAATCTGCAGAAACAAGCGCAGAGCCAGGAGTAAAAACAAAAGCAAAATATTCTCTTGGCATGATAATTGTCTAATATACAAACAGGTGTAATACTTGGAGTCTATGTCTATGATGTAACCTCTTAGATATAAAAGGGTACAAAATGTATAAAGAATTGAGTCTCTTAGGGAAAATCACATCTTTCTTCAGCATTACATTACTTGCCTCTCAACTTTCAAGAGTGTCTTGCTCTGTCCTGTATCTTATTTTAATATGATTGCAAATTAAAGGCCTAGACTTCAACCTGAATTGTGATGTTGTTAGTGTTAGTCAAATACAAAACAAAAACAAAGCTACATCTGTAGTGAGTGCTGAGAGGAAAGAAAATTGTATACAACAGGGTGTCCCAGTGTGTGTGTACAAGCCTAACAGTCCAAACTGTGTTGTTAAAAATCAGTATGGTTATTGAATATAGACCCACATGAGGTCTTTGGGTTTGGGTGTTCAAACAGCACAGTTTTCCCAGGAGATCTCTTCCTTGTCCTTGTTTTGAAAGAGAATGTTGTGGAAAGAAAATTTTTCATGGTGTTGTTTTAAAAAAATGTTTGTCTAATCTTAGATGACAGCTGAAAGTATTTTTCTGTCTATGATGAGTGCTGTTCTGATTTTGAGGTATGAGCAAGGAGGAGAATTTACCTTAAGAAGAAAGTTACAGGACGCTCGGGGAAAAAAATGGAAATTCCAATTCAACACTTTAGTTCATTCCTGGTCACAAATAAAGGAAGCAGATTATGTGAAATATTGACCACTAAATTAAATACATGTGAACATGTGTATGCATTAAAAATATGTTTATACATATTTATAATGTTATTTTTGCACATGCTTTAATAATTTAAGTATGTAATTAAAAGCTTCGCATAGGACTCTCTAAGATCTAAGCAACTTAGATCTCATTTTCAAAAATAACATTGGCACTCATGAGCTTTTATTTCCTTGAATGTTAATGGAGCGTACAGTCCTAGATGTTTGGAGCATTCCCATTTGCAGAGGGAATTTATTCACACTTGTTTAAATGCTATTTAAAAATGAGTGATATATCACAGTGTACATGCATGAAGAAGCAACCTGACAAACATTTTTTACTTGAGCGTTTTTCTGTCTCAACACCTCCACATTTATCAGATGCACAAGGCAACCTGAACTTGGCAGGGCAGGGAGCTTCATCCCTTCGACCCACCTCTTAGGCTGGAGGCAGGTGAGATGCTGGGAGCTGTGGGTTTCCTGGAGCCCTATGAAAATACTGCAGCTGCACGATAGGGATACCTTTGGTGTATGTCAGGTCAAAAGGATTCAGGAAATATTTCAGAGGCACTTTAAGCCAGAGTTTATTTGCCTGTTTCTGCTGTGTTGGCTCAGCCACCAGCTTGTTTCAAAACCCTTGGAGGAGAGCTGCCTGGTGCTTTCTGTTCCTTTTCTCAACCATACTATAACCTGCTTACAGTTTCCATTTACTCCCATTGAATAGTATGAAGGGCATGTCTCTTCATCACCTTGTAGTAGAAATTTGGTTTGAAAAACATGGATGCTAAGTGCCTTGACAGATCATCTGCTAGTCACTAAGTGGGTTCATTTAGGAAATGAGAGCATGGAAACCCTGGCTAAGAATATCTGCTGTTGCTTGGTTTTCTAGCAAAACTTTATGCCCTGTCAGGGTGGCACTGTGGCATCCCACAGAAAGTGGGATGAGAGACAGTCCCAGAAGGCTATGCAGAGGACTTGTACAATCTGTTCTGAAGAGCACCAGTGCCTGGGATGTGTGTGGCAGGAGCTTGTGTTTCAACCAGCTGCTTGTTACCTCAGCTGCTGAGTAGCTGATAACTGGTCAAACACAACAGTGCGGGCAGGAGGAGCAGGTGTTGGTACCTTGCTTAGCAAATTCACCTGACCAAGTCAAAAAGAACCAGCAATGAGACCATGCGACACACCTTTCTAACATCACTTGTCTTTCTACCAAATTCCAACTTCCTGCCCTAAACTTTTGTGGTGATCTTGACAAGTGGGTGAGGAAGGCTGCTTCTATCATTAACTTTTGTTCTGAAAAGCATCTGGTCTATTGGGGATATTTCTTAATCAAACTCGGGCAGAGAAAGTTCATGGCAGATTTCAGCCCTTAAAAGTTCAAGGTCTGAGAGAGTTACAGGCAACTGGAAACAGCAGGTATGATCGAAAGTATTAGTCTGGTGTAACAACGGATGGAGCAGTAGCAACAGCTATAATTATAATTCTAAGTGACAAAACAGAAAGGAAAACTGCATTCCAAGGGATTTAAAATAATTGTTTCAAACCCTGGCCAGATTGTCCCCTCCCATGTTAAAACACTCAGGAGAAGGGGATTTCTGCTTGGAAACAGCTACATAGGGATCTGCAGACTTCTCCCAGAGTGACTCATTTCAGAGGCACAATCTCTTTTTCCCTTTCCAAAGGGAGAAGTTTTTCCCTTTCAAGTGGGTGCACAGATACATGAGCTAAATTGTCTCAGGCCCTGCTCTAAGGTTCCTTCTAATCCATTTCTTCAGTCCTCCCAGTTATCCTGTTTTCTTTGGAAGTACCCTTGTAGCTATCTTGGTTTGTTGGGAACAGTATCCTGAATGGAAAAGGGAGAGAGATGGAAACTATGCAGACTCAAGCCCCTAGGGCTTCTCCCCCTTCCTAGCACAGGTTATACAAAGGGAAAAAGGAGTAAAAGAAGGGTGAAAAACAGATCTGGCTTGGATGAAAGGAAGCATCTGTGTAGTGTGAAGAATACTGACACCTGGCTGCTTGTTTGCTGTTTTCTTAATATATTACAACTGCCTTTCTGCGGTTGCTAGAAAACTAAATAAAAGCAATACTATGCTATATTCGTTTTTTTTCTTTTTATGATATCATATTTTTAATATAACATTTTGGCAGCATGTGCTGAGAAGCAGAGATTTTCACTGAAAAGTGGGATGTCAGAAGAAAGTCTGTTTTTCCCCAAAGTGGCATGTTGTTTCACGACCTCTCACAGATGTTTCATGAATTTGCCATCCTGAGCTACAAAATGGCTTTTGTTAGGATGTAGAAATAGCTCTGCACTTGCAGAGCTGTTGGTGACATGAC